GCGCGCGGCCCAGGTGGCGGCAGGGTGGCGGGCGTCAGTCGCTGAGCACGGCCCCCGGGAGCTCGCTGGTGAGCGTGTGCCAGCGCTCGATGCGCTTGTCCTTGTTCTTCAGGCAGTCGAACCAGTGCTTCAGGCGCTCGCCCTTGGCGTTGATGCCCAGGACCACGCCGCCTGCGGGAGATGGGAGGGGCAGTGCGCGCAGGGGCCTCCTGTCCTCCCCACAGCTGGCCGGATCCCGCCAGGCTCCCTCTCCAAGGCTGGACTCTCCCCCGCCCTCCGGGCTCTGGGCGTGGACATGTCTGACCTCCACATGCTGCCTCCCATCAGGGCCCAGGGACCTGCCCCTCCTTCACCCTGGACATAGGCTAGGGCAGGGTGCAGAGGCGTGTGCTAGGGCCAAGGACCGGGCCAGACGTGGGAAGAACCGGCCAGAGCAGCTCCGCTGTGTGCAGCCATCAGGCCCATCGGAACCTGGGCCGGCAGGGCTCAGGGTCCAGCCCCAGGCACTGACTACCAACATCTTCATCCTTGCTCCCCCACAGACTGGCCTCTTTCCCTCTCTGGGCCTGTCTCTACCTCTGTCACATGGTGTCAGGCTGGATAAGGTCTGAGGCCGTCATGTCTGGTGGTCCACAGCTGCAGCTCCCCCAGAGGCCAGAAAAGAGGGGCTGTGGCCCTTGGCTGAACTCAGGACCGGCACATACCAGACAGCGTGCCCACTGGGCTCTCTTACCAATGAAATCGTTGGATTTTCCGATGTCGTAATCCCAAACGGTGACCTCCAGGGTCTTCTTGGCCAGGTCCCCATGCTTGATCTCATAACAGAACTCCTGCTGGTCAGAAGAGGAGTGTTAGGGTTGCCACCACGGGGCCTGGGACTTGGCCGGTGGCCAGGAGGGGTCTGAGGTGTGGCAAGGGCATGGACGAGGCAGAGAGGATGGTGGGGTGGTCAGCGCACGGTAGTGGACAATGGGTGTGTCCACCGGGGTCTTCAGGGTTCTTGTCCCCTCAGCCCACTTGCTCCTTTGTCACTGAGGCTGCTCTCTCCAGATCCTGAGAGTCTCCCGACTGCCAAGTTCATGGCACACTCAGCAGTCCTTGATGCCCTCCACCTCTCTTGGGCCTGGCTTGGCTCGCCACTCCCTTCTTGGCGGGATCCTATCTCCCATCACTTCTGGGACCCCTAACATCTGGCATCCCCCTCGCTCTCTGGAAGCATCTCTTCGGGCTCCTCTGCCTGCCCCCAAATCCCTGGCGTGGCTCAGGCTCTGCCCAACGGCCTTCTGTGCTCCTCCTCCTCTTTTTCCACTGGGGACCCCCAGGTCTGCATTTTCTTTTCTTTTCTTTTTTTTTTGAGTTGGAGTCTCACTCTGTTACCCAGACTGGAGTGCAGTGGCTGCTCCCGGCCACTGCAGCCTCGGCCTGCTGGGCTCCGGCAATCCTTCCGCCTCAGCTTTCCAAGTAGCTGGAACTATAGGCGCGCGCTACCATGCCCAGCTGACTTTTGATTTATTGTAGAGACAAGGGCTTGTCAAGTTTCCCGGGTTGGTCTCGAACCCACAGGCTCAGGCAATCCACTCGCCTCGGCCTCCCAAAGTGCTGGGATTACAGGCTGAGCCGTCGAGCCCAGCCAAGGTCTGCATTTCCAACTGGGCTGATCATGCCCCACACAGAGCTTCTCCTCATCTTCCTCACACCCCCTCCTCTGCCTTGTTCCCTCAGTGAGGAACCCAGGACTTCCCTTGACTGGCCCTCTTTCCAGCCCTGATCCAACATGGCCACGTCCCATCAGCTGGGTCCTCTGAAGAACTTCCCAGGTCCCCCCAGCTCCCCTGCATCTGCCCCACTATGGTCTGGCTGGTGCCTCACCCCTCACGGCGGGGTTGGGGGCTCTCCTGATGGCCCTTGCCACTCTCTCTGGCCACCCTCCCTTTCCACTGCAACCCTTCAGAAACCCAGCCCCTCAGGGACCCCCACCCTAGGGGACGGGGGCAGGCAGGAGGGGAGGGAGGGAGTGGCCTTTTGAGCTCCCAGCCCCTGTACCTCATTGAACTCCGGGTTCAGGGTTTTCTTCTTTACCGCTGTCTTATGTTTGGATTTCTTGTCCACATCTGGCTTCAGGTATCTGGAATTACATCCGAGGGACAGGTAAAGGACAGGCAAGACGGAGCCAGCTGGGCTCAGAAGAGCTTCCACCTGGGAGAGACATCCAGGGCCCCTGTTTCATCCTAACCATTGGATCTTCTGAGCACTGCCCTGGGGCAAAGGTGAGAGATCAGCTGCAGTCAGACAGCAAGTGGCCCCTCCATCAGCAAGGCTTCTGCCCACATGCATACTCCTGAGGCTAACTGCGGCCCCCTGGCTCCTAGGAAGGAGGGCTTTCCTTGTTTCTGCAAGTCTAATGTTCACAAAGCTCACGTTTCCCACTCCACCAGAAAAACACTTTTTAGCAGAGTTGGTCCCTTGTTCAAGCCTTTTTTTTTTTGAGTTAGGGTCTCACAGTCTTCCAGGCTGGAGTGCAGTGGCAGGATCATGGCTCACTGCAGCCTCAACCTTCGGGGCTCCCGAGTAGCTGGGACTTGCTCAAGGTCACACAGCCAACAAGCACAGGGGTGATGCTTGGAAGCCAGACCCAGGCTCCTTTCTCTGTGACAGGGAGGTCACATGCAGGTTAGAGTCCCTGACCTCTCCTTTGCAGAACTTCTCACCTTGTCCCTGCATAGATAATTGAGTGACAACTGCCTCCCTGCTGAATGTGCTCTGGGGTGAGGAACACTACCATTCATTACCACCTGCCTGGAATCCGGCCCGGAGCTGGCACTGGGGAGCTCCGTGAACATCTGTCGAATGAATGACTGAATTCCTGGAAGTGAAATAACCCCAAAGGTGTGCCCATGTCCTGATTCTCATTTATTTTTCCAACTCCCCTCACTTTAAAAATGCTTGCTTTTTTGAGCTGGGCGCCGTAATCCCAGCACTTTGGAAGGCCGAGGAGAGAGAATTGCTGAGCTCGGGAGTTCGAGACCAGCCCGGGCAACTTGGCGAGACCTCATCTCTACAATAAATCAGAAAAATTAGTCAGCTGTGGTGGTGAGCGCCTGTAGTTCCAGCTACTCAGGAGGCTAAGGTGGAAGGGTCGCCTAAGCCCAGCAGTTCCAGGTTGTGATGGCCATGAGTGTGCCACTGTTACTCCAGCCTGGGTGACAGAGTGAGACTCTGACTCAAAAAAAAGAAAAAGTCCTTGCTGGTTTGGAAGGCAGAACATAGTATCTCACTGTTGCCTTACTTTGTATTTTAAAAAACTGTGACTTTTTTTTTTTTTTTGAGTTGGAGTCTCACTCCGTCGCCCAGACTGGGTGCAGTGGCCACTCCCGGCCACCGCAGCCTCGACCTCCTGGGCTCCGGTGATCCTTCCGCCTCAGCCTTTCAAGTAGCTGGAACTACAGGCGTGCACTACCACGCCTGGCTCCTTTTGATTTATTGCAGAGATGAGGTCTCGCCAAGTTGCCCAGGCGGGTCTCAAACCCGCGGGCTCAGGCAATCCACTCACCTCAGCCTCCCAAAGCACGGGATTACAGGCTGAGCCCGGCTAAAGCTGTGACTTTTATGACATAAACAATACTGGTTTAGGCTGGGTGTGGTGGCTCACACCTGTAATCCCAACACGTTGGGTGGTCAAGGTGGGAGGATTGCTTGAGCCCAGGAGTTCAAGACCAACCTGGGCAACATAACAAGACCACATCTCTACAAAAAAAAATTAAAAAATTAGCCAGGCATGGTGATGCCTGCCTGTAGTCCCAGCTACTCGGGAGGCTGAAGGAGAAGAATCACCTAAGGCCAGGAGGTTGAGGCTGCAGCAGCCATGATCACTGTGCCACTGTACTCCAGCCTGGGTGATAAGAGTGAGACCCTCACTCAAAAAACAAAAACAAAAACATAAAAAACAACTGGTTTTTAACAGAAACACTAGAAAATTTGTATGGACAAAGGTTGGGGATGGGAGAGAGAAATAAAGACATACATTCACACAGAAACCTGGTCTGTACAGTCACCAAAGATTGCAAACAACCACTTGCCGTTCAACTGGTGAATTGATCAACACACTTGTGGTTTATCTACACAATGGAAGACTATTCAGCCACGAAAAGGACAGGCTGGGTGTGGTGGCTCATGCCTGTAATCCTGGAACTTTGGGAGGCTGAGGTGGAAGGGTTGCTGGAAGCTGGGAATTTGAGACTGCAGTGAGCCGTGGTCGTGCCACTGCTCTCCAGCCTGGGCTACAGAGTGAGATCCTATCTCAAGGGGAAAATAAAAAAAAAAAGACTAAACGACGGATATAAACCACCACACAGATGAATCTCAAATACATTACCTATGCGAAAGAAGCCAGACTCACAAGGTAACTTACTATCCCATTGCCTAAAAGTCTGAGACTGGATGCGGTGGCTCAGTCTGTAATCCTAGCACTTTGGGAGGCTGAGACAAGAGGAGTGCCCTAGCCCAGGGGTTTGAGACCAGCCTGGGCAACTTGGTGAGACCTGGTCTCTACAATAAATCACAAAATTAGCCGGGCGTGGTGGCATGCATCTGTAGTTCCAGCTACTTGGAAGGCTGAGGCAGGATTGCCTGAGCCCAGCAGGTCAAGGCTGCAGTGGCCGTGAGCATGCTACTGCACTCCAGCCTGAGCAATGGAGTGAGGCTCCAATTTAAAAAAAAAAAAAAAAAAGTGTGGAAGAGGCAACGTGATTGGCACAGAAAACAGGTCAGTGGTTGCCTGGGGCTGGGAACTTTCTGGGGTGATGGAAGTATTCTGTGTCTTTTTTTTTTTTTTTTTTTTGAGTCGAGGTCTCACTCTATGGCCCAGGCTGGAATGCAGTGGCAAGCTCACAATGATCACGGCTCATGGCAGCCTCGACTTCCTGGGCTCAGGTGATCCTTTTCACCTCAGCCTCCTGGGTAGCTGGGACTACGGGTGAATTCCACTATGCCAGGCTAATTTTTTTTGAGTTTTTTGTAGAGATGAGGTCTCACTATGCTGCCCAGGCTAGTCTTGAGTTCCTGGGCTCAAGCAATCCTCCCACCTGGGCCTCCCAAAGTGCTGGGATGACAGGCATGAGCCACTATGCCTGGCCCAGTATTCTGTATCTTGATTGTGATTGTGGTAACAGGATTGTGTACGTTGGTCAAACTTCAGAAGGAGACACTTAGGTAAATGACACAGGGTGAGGATCCTTTATCCAACATACTTAGGACTGGAAGTGCTTTGAATTTTGGAGTTTTTTGCATTTTGGAATATTTGCATTATACATACTAGTTCAGCATCCCTAATCTGAAAGTCCAAAATGTCCCAGGGAGCATTTCCTTTGAATGTCATATTGGTGCTCAAAAAATTTCAATCTTTTTCTTGGAGTTGGGGTCTTACTCTGTTGCCCAGAGTTGTCCTGTGAATTGTCCTTTGCCTGTTTTGTGTTGGGGTGAGAAGCAGGGACAGGACACCCCTGCCCTCGGGAATCCTTTGAAGGAAGGTTGTTTCGGGATCTCTGCATTCTCAGCCTGGACTACTTGTGTTCACCTAGCGACCCCCTCACTGCCAGCTGGCTCCCATGATGGGCACCAGCCTGGGAGTCTTAGCCAAGGACAGTGCCCCCAGGGGTCATCCTCTGTCCTGCCCTGGACCCTTGACCCTGCCGTTTTCTCTGCCTGGAGCGCCTTCCCTTCCGACCATGCCGGGGCTTCCCTCAGCTCCCTTCCAGAGTGCGACCGTTCAGGCCCCGGGCTGCCCCGTGGTGTCTCTTCCTCCCTCGCATTCAGGACCCGTCCCTGGGGCTCATGGGACCTCGCGTGCAGTGCCACCTCTGGTCCCTCTGTCCAGCAACTTCTGCTTGCCTAAGGCTTCTAGAAAAAAACCCCTTCCTGATATAGATGAGAGAGAAGGAAGGGAGTTGCCTAGGGGGGCACGGCATGTTGCTTCTGGTTTCCTCCGTTTCCGCTGTATGAACTGGAGATAATAAGCGGCTGCGTGAGCTGCTGGGAGGGTCAGATGAGGTCGTCGCGCAGCCCCGTCACGTAGTCACAGCTCGACACACGTCACCGGTTATCATCACTGGCACTGTTACCCTGGGGTTTTCCATCGTACCCTGAAGGGCTGGGCCTGGGGTCAGTTTCCAGCCTGGGGAAACTGAGGCAGGTATCAGGAGGCAGGGATGAGGTTTGTAAAAATATCAGAGCAGACAAAAGCCGTACCCATCTAGCTTTGCCCTCAGCATGGGCCACTGGCACACCCTAGCTCCGTCCTGGGTCACAGGCGCCTGTCAAGGATGCAGCCTAGGGTGTCCTTCTCAGAATCTAGCCTGTGCCCTGATTTCTCCTGCTTTTAGTAAGGAGGCGGGGACTCACAGTCCATGAAGGGGCCTTTCAGAGATGAGGACCCCTGTGGAGGCCAGAGCAGCAGCCCCCATGTCTGACCCAGGGAGTCGTAACCAGATGTGGGGTCTCAGGTGCAGTGTGACTCTGATACAGGGAGCTGCCCACAGATCTGTCCATCCTTGAGAGGCCAGGATGACCTGGCCCTTGGCAGAGAGGGTGGGCCCCAGCTGCAGGGCTCCGGCAGCACCCATACCGGCCACCTGTGGCGGGGATGGGGGAGCCCGTGGTGCGGTGGACAGGTCCCGCCAGGGCTGCCCTCTGCTTGCCCGTGGAAGTTGGCCGGACTGTCTGTTGCACCAGATAAGACCCTGCTTTCTGGGTAACCCAGCATGTGAGCCTGGAATTCATAGAACCCGACTGAGCATGTCCACATCATTTTGACTTCAGATGGTGTGTTTCTGTAGGAGAACCTAGCATGACGGGCAGGGGGGTTGGCACCTTGCTGGCCTCTCCAGCGAGGCCTTGGCCCTCCCTCCCTCCCTGAGACCACCGCTCTCCAGAAACGCTCCACACGGTTTGAGAAATAGATGTAAACAGTATCCCACCCTAAACAGTGCCCTTCTGCAGCTTGCTTCCTGGCTTGGCATGTTTTGGAGAGCTGTCCATTTTGGGGAACTGTCCATGTTAATTCATCTCGTTCTAATTTATTCATTTTAACTGCATAGTACTGCACTATACGCATATGCCACATTTTATTAATCCATTTCTCTGCTGATGAGCATTTGGCTATTTCCAGCTTATCGCTATTACAAGCAATGCTGCAATAAATAGCTTCCCACCCGGGCACGGGTTTCCAGGAGACAAACTTGGAAGGAAAACAGCACGGCCGTGGGGTGCACATGCTCTCCACCTCGGCTGGGTGCTGCCAGCGTTCTCCCCGTGGTTAGTCAGAGTCTCCCGAGTGTCTTGGAAACATCTGAGGTTTCTCCTCACACCCAGGCCTAATCCACTGGGAGACTTTCCTTTGCTCATTATTGAGGTCTGGGCCCACTGCACTGCTTTTCAAATGGAAAACCAGTAGTCCTGGCACTCCCCAAAGATGTAGCCAGCCCTCTTCAGGTTCTTATTACACCCAGGCTCTGCTCCTGGAGCCTGGCGTACTTGGATCTTAAAAAATAACAGCTTTACTGAGATGTAACTCACATACTGTACAATGTGCCCTTTTCACATGTACAATTCAGTGGGTTTTGTTTGTTTGTTTTGAGTCAGGGTCTCACTCTGTCACTCTGGCTGGAGTGCAGTGGATCACAGCTCACTGCAGCCTCGACCTCCTGGGCTCAGGTGATCCTTCTGCCTTAGCCTTCTGAGTCGTTGGGAGTACAGGTGTCAGCCAGCACGCTTGGCTAAGTTTTTGATTTTTGTGAGTTTGAGTCTCACTCTGTCACCCAGGCTGGAGTGCAGTGGCATGCTCACAGCCACTGCAGCCTTGACCTGCTGGGCTCAGGTGATCCTCCCACCTCAACCTCCCGAGTAGCTGGAACTACAGGCATGTGTTGTCACGCCTGGACAATTTTTTAATTTACTGGAGATGAGGTCTTGCCGAGTTGCCCAGGCTGGTCTCAAACCCCTGGGCTCAGGCAATCCTCTCTCCTCGGCCTCCCAAAGTGCTGGGATTACAGGCATGAGTCACTGTGCCCAGCTAATTTTTAAATTGTTTTCGTAGAGATGAGGTCTCGCTATGTTGTCCAGGCTGGTCTTGAACTCCTGGGTTCAAGTATCTACCCGCCTTCCCAAAGTGCTGGGAGTATAGGCATGAGCTAGTACACTCAGCCTCAATTAACTGGTTTATGGTATGGTCGTAGAGTTGTGTAGTCATCACCACCATCAATGGTAGAAGATTTTCATCACGCCAGAAAGAAACTGAGCACCGGTCAGCAGTCACTCCCCATGTCCTCCCAAGCCTCTCCCGGCTCCTGCAACCACGAGTCTACTTTCTGCCTCGATGGATTTGCCTATTTTGGGCATTTCATAGACGTGGAATCATACAACATGTGGCCTTTTCTGTCTGTCTTCCTTCTCTCAGCACAGAGTTTTCAAGGCGTATCCAGCTTGCAATATGTGACTACTTCACTCTATGGCCAACTTAGCATCCCATCACGTGGGTGGACCACATTTTGCGATCCACTCATCAGTGGATGGGCGCTTGGGCTGCTTCCATTTTTGGCTGCTGTGAAGAATACTGCCATGAACATTCCTGGACAAGTTTTCGTGTGGACATATGTTTTTAATTTTGGGGGGGCATTTACCTAGGAGTAAAACTGCTGGGTCGAATAGTAACGCTGTTTTAAACTTTTTTGTTGTTGTTTAGAAACGGGGGCCTCACTCTATCACCCAGGCTAGAGCGCAGTGGCGTGATCATGGCTCACTGCAGCCTTGACCTCCTGGGCTCAAGTGATCCTCCCGCCTCAGCCTCCCCAGAAGCTGGGACTACAGTAGCAGGGACTACACACCTGGCTTGTGTTTAACTTTTTGTTTCTTTTTTTTTTTGAGTTGGAGTCTCCCTCTGTCGCCCAGACTGGAGTGCAGTGGCCACTCCCGGCCACCGCAGCCTCGACCTGCTGGGCTCCAGGGATCCTTCCGCCTCAGCCTTCCGAGTAGCTGGAATTACAGGCGCACGCTACCACGCCTGGCTGATTTTTTGTTTTGATTTATTGTAGAGACGAGGTCTCGCCAAGTTGCCCAGGCGGGCCTCGAACCCGCGGGCTCAGGCAATCCACTCACCTCAGCCTCCCAAAGGCACAGGATTACAGGCTGAGCCACTGAGCCCGGACTGTGATGATTTTTTAAATGACGAAACACGATTGTAGCCTGTCGGAATGGTGCCCTCACAAGGAGGACTGGCCTCCTGTGGTACCAAAATATCCCCATGGCCTTAGTCACTGAGTCCTCCGTGTCCCTCAGGCAAGGCCCATTCCTGTTTCCGTGTCTTGATTCCTCTGCTGACCCCCTTCTGTGACCCACCTCCCCCTTCTTTCTGCTGAGCCAAATTCCTCCCCAAGTCCGACCCTTCTGGGGGGTCTCCTTGTAAACTCAGACTCACACTCCATTTTTGAAGAGCCCCGAGCATTGAAGGCATCGAGCACTGAAAGAGACATAGGTCTCTGTGGCACCTATGTCATCTTTCTCCAAATGGCCACTATCTCCTACCTTCCCCTCCGAGCTCAGGCACCCATCATCCTGGCCAGGTTCACAGCTTGGAGGCCCAGGCCATCTGGCCCAGCCTCCTGAGTGAGTCTCTATCTCAGGCACTTCCATCAGCTTGTCAGTGGGGCTGGGTGGACCCTTATCTGCACCTGTGGCCCCAGGACAGGGCTGGGCACACATGGGCAGCTGCTGATTCCTGGCAGAGCTCCTTTGCCGGATCTCCCAGGCTCATGGCTACCCCTGGCACTGGCCATGCCTCCTCCTGTCCCCTCCTCCAACTTGCTCACAACCCCTCCTGGGCCTGGATGTGGCATCAGGAGACAACTACTCTATCTGTGTGACCCTAGGAAGCCACTCAGCTGCTCTGGGTCTCAGTTTCCCCATCTGTGAAATGGGCTGGCCATACTTAACCCTTGGAGTTGCCGAGGAGCACACCAAAGAACAAGCCTCCGTAGACATAGCATCCATGGCATCTTAGGCACTCCCTGAGTGCTTGCTGCCCTGGACCATGGCTCCAACCACAAGGGCCTCTGTCCTGGGTGGGGAGGAGGGCAGCAGGCAGCCGGCCTGGGTGGCACACTCACGTTTTCACGTAGGGGTCTGAGTAGCCGTTGGCGTCCATGGCAGCCAGGTGTGCACACCGCACGATGCCCACCAGTAGGCCCTGCTTCTGAGAGCTGTACTTGAGGGAGATGAGGATGCGGCCCCGCTCCTCCAGGGACTTGTCTTCCATCTTGTCCACCTGCGGGGCAGGGCAGTCACTCGGCGGTCCTCGCTGGCTCCCACCGCTCCCTCACTGTCCTTGCCTCCCCCTTCCTGAGCCTGCCCACCTGCCACCGCCTGAGTTGAGCTCCCAGCTGTGTCCTCACAGGCTGCCCAGCTCTCCCCTCCTGAGGTTTCTGCTTGGGGTGGAGTCTGACCCCAATCCTCCTTGCTCACGGCCCCGCAGCCTGGATGGGCCTTCACAGTCTTGTGTGGGCCGGCCTGGCAACCCACGGGCCAAGTCAGGTCTGATGCCTCGCTCCGTGTGGAACGTGAGCTAGGAGTGGTTCTTATCTTTTAGAATGGCAGGAAATAAGACCAAAAAAAGGGTACAAAGTTCAAACTTCAGTGTCCATTAGTGAAAGGTGATTTGTGCGTGGCCTTGTCCGCCCCTGCACACCTTGACTGTGGTTGTTTATGTTTTTTTGTTTGTTTGTTTGTTTTTTGAGTTGGAGTCTCACTCTGTCGCCCAGACTGGAGTGCAGTGGCACACTCCTGGCTACCGCAGCCTCGGCCTGCTGGGCTCCAGTGATCCTTCCGCCTCAGCCTTCCGAGTAGCCGGAATTACAGGCATGTGCTACCATGCCCAGCTAATTTTTTGATTTATTGTAGAGATGAGGTCTCACCTGCCCAGGCGGGTCTCAAACCTGCGGGCTCAGGCAATCCACTCACCTCAGCCTCCCAAAGGCGCGGGATTACAGGCTGAGCCACTGAGCCCGGCTGGTTGTTTATGTTTTAAAGAGTTGAGGAGCTGCAACAGACTGGGGGACCATGATACGTGTCATGGTTACTAACTGGCCCTTTACAGTGAGGCTGGCAGACCTGGAGTAGTGCTGTGGGCTTCCCCAATGATCCCCGGCTCTGCCCCTCCTCACAGCCTGACCTGACTATCCCCAAAGTCTCTAGGCTCCGAGGCTGGTTCACACTCCTGTGCCACACTCAGATATATCCACGGCTCAGCACGCCTTCCTCTGCATTCACGTTCAATAAATTACTGGGACTGAGCTCAGCTTAAGCGGCACCAGCTCAGGAGGCTTCCCTGACCCTCAGGGTGGGCCATCCCTGCTCTGTGCTCCCACTGCCCCAGGCTCCTTTCTGTCACAGCATGGTGTGGCCACACGCCTCCTCATGTGTCTGCCTCTAGCCTCGAGTTTCCTTGAAGATGGGACTCTGTCTGTAGCATTCTTTTTTTTTTTTTTTTGAGTTGGAGTCTCACTCTGTCACCCAGGCTGGGGTGCAGTAGCATGCTTATAGCCACCCCAGCACTGACCTGCTGGGCTGGCGATCCCTCCGCCTCAGCCTTCCAAGTAGCCAGAACTACAGGTGCATGATACCACACCTGGCTAATTTTTGATTTATCGTGGAGATGAGGTCTTGCCAAGTTGTCCGGGTTGGACTCAAACCCCGCAGGCTCTGGCAATCTGCTCGCCTTGGCCTCCCAAAGTGCTGGAATTACAGGCTGAGCCACTGAGCCCCGTCTATCTGTAGCATACGTACACCTCCAGAGTGGGGCGGGGCCAGGTGCCAATTAAGCACCTGCAGGAGGCTTGTCCTAATGAAGGTGAAAATGGGGGGACAGGTCCCCTCTTGGGTCAGCCTCATGCTGGTAACTCCAGCCTGGAGGTATTTGGAGACAGGTCAAATGGAACTCGGTGGATGCTAAGGGGTCACCCTGGCCCTGGCCCCCCACAGGTGTTTCTTGGAGCCTCTCGGTACTGGATGTGAGCCCCTGGGGGAGAACAGAGCACTGACACATTCCCAGCCCTGGGGAATCTGGGCCCCAGTGGGAAGCCACCCAGTCCCTTCCTGGGACTGAGCAGCTGCCCAGTGCCTGCCTCTGGGGTCAGATCTCAACTCTGGGTCTCCCCGCCCCACCCAGCCTGATGCTTCTCTGTTCCTTACCCTCCCAAGACCACCTGTTTCTTCCTCCTGGCTGCTGCATACCCAGAAGCCCCTCTCCTGTGCCCTCTGCCCACCCAGACACACCCAGCTTGAGCTGATGTCCCCTGAGGGCCCCTCCTTAGGACTCTCTTCCAGGTTCTTCTGGAACACAACCCCACCCCTGCCACATCCTTGCTCACAACTGTGCTCTGCCTGGCACTAAAATGAATCCCCATGCAGCCACATCTAAATCTTTCTGGAGACAAGACTCCTGTGAGGTGAAGGAAGGGAAGCCAAGCAGGGAAGACACACACACACACACACAGGACCCACGGGCCACCTCTCCCCAACTCCTATGCCCAGAGCAAACATAGCTAGTTGATCACAGCATTCACCCTGAGTGTACATGCAGCCTCAGCATCCTTTTCAACACAGCACTCAGGCAGCCATTACCAATGGGTCAGGCAAGGAGTTAGATTTTCTTTTTTTGAGTTGGAGTCTCACTCTGTTGCCCAGGCTGGAGTGCAGTGGCACAGTCACGGCCACCCCAGTGTCAACCTGCTGGGCTCAGGCAATCCTTCTGCCTCAGCCTTCCAAATAGCTGGAACTACAGGTGAATACTACCACGCCCAGCTGATTTTTTTTTTTCTTTTTGATTTATTGTAGAGATGAGGTCTCACCAAATTGCCTGGGATGGTCTTGAACCTGTGGGCTCAGCAATCCTCTCACCTTGGCCTCTCAAAGTGTTAGGATTATAGGCATGAACCAATGTGCCTGGCCTACGTATGCTCTTACACACAATTCACACATGCACACACACACATGCATGCATGTTCACACCCACACAGTTGTTTGTTTCTGCCAGTGATCAAAACTCAGGAATACAACTAGAGTAGGAACTGATGTTGCCTTCCTTAAGTGACATAGATCATTTGGAAGAACTGGGTTACCTGTGGTTGGTGACTTATAATAAAACAGAAAAGGTTAGATCCATCACAGAAATGTCTCTGAGTGGGAGCGAACGTGACAAGGGAATACAATTTGATCAAGTTATGCAAAAAGACAGAACTGGGATTCTGGTAGGAAGCTCTGGCCTCAGGCTGGCTTGTTCCTAAGGTTGGACTTGGGCTAAGCTCACTGAGAATCGTGTCTTGAGGGTCCCAGACCCCATAGGGGCTGGGCACACTGGGGGACAGGAGCTGGACCCACTGGGGGACAGCTGCTGGTGCCTTGTGCCCAGGTCTCTGGGGGTACAATGTGTCAGAGAGGGGACTGTGCCTCTGTCCGTGTCCTGGGCAGTTGAGGGCCCAGTGTTTCTCTTGACCCCGAGGCAGTGGGGATGCCTGGCCGACACCAACCAGCCTTCTGAACCAGGTGAAGGCCCAAGAGAAAGGAGGGCAGGGGAGGTGAGGGGGACACGGAGACCAAGACTCTGGGGGGTGGGGAATGCAGCTGCTGGAGCCAGCCAAGGGCAAAATCTGTTCTGACACAATTTTCAAACAATTGCAATTTCTAGGAAAGAGGGATCTTCTGTCTCCCCTGGGTATTTCACAAACACCTCGAGTCTAACACGTTCCGCGTGCACCCCTGTGTGTCCCGTTCCCTCCACAGCCCCTTCCAGGGTCTTTGCAGTCAGTGAGGCCCGCCTCATCCTTCAGTGGCTCTGTCCCCAAGCCCCGGAACTGCCCTCTCCCCCACCCAACTGCTGATACTGCCTGTAAGTTCTGTCCCATCCAGAATCAAGTTTTCCTTCCGCCCCAGTCCAGGCCCAAGCTATGCTGTCTCTCCACTGGCCTCCTGCCCTCTCCTCCCTCTTCTTCGAGCCATTCTGAGCCCAGGAGGCAGGGAGCCTGTGAACATGTCATGTTGTCAGATGCGCCACCTCTGCTTGGCACCCTCCAAGTGGCCAGTGTCACTCCGAGTTAGAGCCTAGCTCCTTCCTAGCATCTACTCCCTCTGCTCTCAGTCCTTGGACTGCCCCCCCCCACTCTCTGTGCTCCACTCTTTAGCCTCAGCATGATGTCTCCAACAGGCAGGAAGTTCTGTCTGCCTCCCCAGGGCCTGCCGCTGGGCCAGGTACACAGCAGGTGCTCAATAAATCCTCCTGGCCCTGAACTCACGGAGGCACCTGCTGGGGCCACGGCCTACTCACCGGCAGCTGCTTCTCCAGGCAGATGCTGAATGTCTTGGTGTGGTTGGGCTTCAGCTTCTTCAGGGGCACACGGGTCTCCCCGATGAACTCATTGTGACGGAATTTGTCCTCATCACACACGGAGATCCTGGGGGTGACAGGCACAGCCAGCACCTTAGACGCACTGGGCGCTCCCAATCTGCTTCTGACGTCCGTGGGGATTTGCAAGCGGAGGGGTTTGTTCATGGGCGGAGCCACCCCACAGACAAGGCTGAGTGGGGCGGGGACGGGGAGCAGGGACCCGGGGCCCTCACCCACCGAAGGGTCTTGCGGATCATGTCTTCGTCTGTGATCCCGTAGTAAGTGAGGGTCTCGTTCCACGTGGGGTTCAGAGTGTTACGGAGAGTTTTTGTTCTGAGCTTATTTGCCTGGAGAAAGGAGAAAGGAAAAATGATCTCCTTGGCATCAAAAGGTGCGGTCGGGAGAACAACGGCCACATCTTCATCCTTGGAACCTGTGAGTGTGCTGTCAGGCACGGGAAAGGGAGTGGAGGTTGCAGATGGAATTAAGGTTGTAAATGCACTGACTTTAAAACAAGGGGATTATCCTAGGTTATCTGGGTGGCCACAGGGTCCTTTAAAGTGGAAGAGGAAGCCCGGCTCAGTGGCTCAGCCTGTAATCCCGTGCTTTGGGAGGCTGAGGTGAATGGATTGCTGAGCCCGCGGGTTTGAGACCCGCCTGGGCAACTTGGCGAGACCTCATCTCTACAATAAAATCAAAAAAGTTAGCCGGGCGTGGTAGCGCGCGCCTGTAGTTCCAGCTACTTGGAAGGCTGAGCAGAAGGATGGCCGGAGCCCAGCAGGTCGAGGCTGTGATGTCTGTGAGCGTGCCACTGCCCTCCAGCCTGGGCTACAGAGTGAGACTCCGACTCAAAAAAAAAAATAAGGTGGAAGAGGGGGCGGGAGAAGCGAGGCAGAGTGAGAGGCGCTAAGGGAGATAGCCAGAGAAGCCACGGAGCTGGTTCTACACATGGAGGAAGGGGCTACGCTACGAGCCAAGGAAGGGGATGGTCTCTAGAAGCTAGGAAGGGCCAGGAAATGCTCCCCAGGGGTCCGGGAGGAACACAGGCCTGCTGACATCTTCACTGCAGCCCAGTGAGACCTATGCTGGGCTTCAACCTGCAGAGCTGAACAAAAGTGTGTGTTGTCTTAAGTGGTAGCGTCTGTGGCCATTTGTTGCAGCGGCCATGGGAGGCTAGTACAAGGAAGATCCCCACCTCCAGGTGCCTGGGATAGGGGAAGTTCTGCAGGAGGCCGGGCGTGGAACTGAACTCTGTTCTTCCCAGGACACGCCCTCTTTGCTCAGACTGGCCCCTCTGCCTGGAACCCACACTTTCCTCGGGAATGGCTTGTGGGGTGACCTGTCCAAGCTGGAATCCTGTCCCCATTCCATCCTGTCCTTCTGGGGATCTTGGTTCTCGTACTATGGACCTGTCCTGTGCAGCAGACTCTGAGTTCTGTGTCTGACTCATGCTGATGTCTGCCACGCCTGGCCCAGCCTTAGAAGTCAGACAACCCAGGGTTCTCACCCCAGCTCTGGGGTCCTCTCCTACCCCTTGCAGCGTCAGGCTCCCCATTGTGGAAAGGACACAGGAACACCTCCCTCACACTGTTTTCAGGAGCTTAGAAGACTGCTCTTAAAAAGCTGCGTCTCTCCCTCACCCCATGGGAGAGTCCATAGGGGTCCCTATGCCTCAGCACCCAGGTGCTGCTGGCTCTGGGTCCCACAAGTCTTAGGACTCATGGCCACTGAGCTCCTGAGGGCACCCTTCCCTGGTCACGCTCACCCCACACCCCTGAGCTCCACTTGCAGCATGAGGACACCGAGGCCCGGAGTGGGGGCCCATTTCCTCTCCTGCAGCCCTGCCTTCCCTAGAGAAAGAGTGATGGCCCCTTCTGGGGTGGCCCTCCCCGGCTGGTGTGGGGAGCCCTGGGCCTATACACTTAGGCCCCCAAGTCAACTCAGACTCGGCCCCATGAAATTAAAAATGAAACAACGTTGAACTGAAGGATGCACGTAAGGAAGTCTAATCAAGCTCTGATTTTCCAGGGCTGAAGGTCACCTTGATGCTTTAGTTAACAGCGATCTTTCCTGTCCTTTCCTGGACGCACCGGCTGTGCTGGTGCCCTGAGTGTGTGTGTGGTCTGCTGGTTGGGTCACTGGCACAGGAACAAGTAAATTGGGTAGCTGGTCACTCCATACCTCTTACGGAGAGTCAGGGAACCACCCATCAATACATTAAAGGCTCTGGTAAGTCCTGCGGTGAAGATACCTGTTTAATAATGTTTCCCAATGTTATTGGACCACAGAGCCCTTTTGGGGCAAGTATTAACTTCCAGCTGAGACTGCTTCTTATGAAATGTGGGCCTAGCAATCCTCCAGGGAAATCACAGCTCAACAGGTAGGTCATGCTGACTTGTTAGACTCCAGGAGGCCCGGAGGGTGTGGCGCTGAACGGGTGTTCTTCGTGGAGGTGAATGGCTGCAGTCCAGTCAGCTTGGGCTCTGAGAGGGTGTGGGATTGAGCACCTCCCGGGTATTTGGGTCATGGTGGGCAGGCCCACCTGATGGGTGGGCCTGGGACGGAAGCCCTCACCTTACTGGCTCCTGGCAGCAGGTGCAACTTGACATAGGGGTCCGCCAGCCCATTGTGGTCCATCGGCTTCAGGCCCTGGGCACAGGAGAATGGCAAAAGGTGAGCACTGGAAATCGAGACACAGAGCAGCCAGGGCCTCCAGTCACCCGGGTCAGCAGGATCCCCTATCCCCTGCATCTCCTGGCTGGATCCACTCATGGTCCTCCTCACAGAAGCCCCTGGCCCCACTTTTCAGATGCTCAGCTGTGGTGCCATCTCCCCTCCCCCCAGTAGTCTTGGCCAGGGCAGCTGCCCTGGGGCTCTTCATCAGGCAGGCTTTCTCTTTCCATTCTCTTATCATCAAGCCAGGCGACTCACCTGCCTCTGAACAAATCTCACTGCCCTGCTTTGGTCTGGCCCTTCCCCCTTCCCGACCCCCTCCCTGGTTTTCCAACAAAGCCTTCTGTGGGCGACTTTCTCACGGATCCTCAATCCACATAACCCTCTGTCTGCTCATTTACATGCTTCCTCATGCAGCCTTGGGAACACGTTCTGGGTCCTGGGAGCCCATTCGAGCCCAGGGTCTGTTTCTCCCTGGATGTACCATGGCTCCAGCCGGTCCACAGAGGTCACGGGAACTGACCAGCCTCAGAGGGTGCCTCCACAAGATGGCAGCCCTCACCAACTCTGTTGGCAGTTCTTTTGAGAACTCAGTCAAGTGTGCACAGCCCGGGAACAAACGGCACCATAAACAGGGGCTCAGCTGACCTCATGAGCACTCTTGTTTCGGAAAATTGCATTGATTTCTTCCGGGCTGGTGCGCAGGGACGTGGGAGGCAGCAGTGGCATCTGTGGGGCAGAGCCAGCCACCCCAGGACATTATTCAAGGATGAGCCGCACGTTTTCTACCCCACAGGCAGGGAGGAAGTTTGGCTGCTCAGTTCAGGCCCACCCTACCTTGGCTTGGAGGAGCTGGGTGGGGGATTCCAGTCACCCACTTCTCTGCTACCAGGAAAGGGCAGACGTTTGGGAGCCAGGCTGGCCTGGGTTCAGCTCTCACTCCTGCATGTACTGGCTGGGTAAGTGGATTAGTTACTTTGCCTCAGTATCGTCTTCTATAAGCCGGGTTAATAGTTCCAGCTTCCCAGGGCTGCAGTGAGAGGGAAGGGGCCAATGGGGACTGGGTGCTGCTCCCTTCCTCGACATAGCAGACCCCTGAGAGATGCCAGAGAAGTTGTCGAGCGTGGGGTGGGAGTGTCTGAGTTGTGCCCTGCACTGTGAAGGCTGGTTCTGGGTCGGGGCTCAGGCTGGTGGCCCCATGTGTGCCCTCAGGGATGAGGCTGCCCTTCCACACCCAACTCCTGCCCCTGGCCACTTGCCCTTTCCCATCGAGTGCCTGGAGTGCGAAGTTACGGGGCTCTGGTGACCAGCCAGAGCAGGGGTTGCCTGAAGGTTTGTGTTTTATTTTTACAATTCTCTTTGTATTTTTTTTTTTTTTTTTTTTTTTTGAGTTGGAGTCTCACCCTGTCACTGAGGCTGGTAGGCTGTGGCATACTCACGGCCACTTCAGTATCGAACCTGCTGGGCTCAGGCGATCCTTCAGCCTCAGCTTTCCAGTAGCTGGAACTACAGGCATGTGCCCGGCTAATTTATTTATTTATTTATTACGGAGATGAGATCTTGTCAAGTTGCCCAGGCTGGTCTTGAATCCACAGGCTCAGGCAATCTTCTCACCTAGGCCTCCCAAAGTGCTGGGATTATGGCGTGAGCCCGGCTCTCTTTGTATTTTGTTATAGATGAGGTCATGCTATATTGCCCAGGCTGGTCTTGAACTCCTGGGCTCAAGCCATCCTCCTGCCTCAGTCTCCCAAATTGTTGGGATTACAGGCATGAGCCACTATGCCCGGCCTATTTTTATATTTCTTAGACAGTTGTTTGTTATAGCTTAAAATGTTTTCGTTGAGTCATATTGCTTGACACATCTCACTTGCAAATCTTTGGGCCACCAGGGTTCTGGCCATCTGTCCATGGCTCTGGTGGTCCCACCTCTGTGCCCAGGACACCTGTGAGGGTTGGGCTGGGACAAAGGGGCGCTGCCACACTGGGTGCGAGTAAGGCCTGCTCTGTCCTTTGGACACCTAGATTGTGATAGGGTCTTCGCTGCCATCTCCCCAGGCCTCTACCCAGAAGATCCCTGGGTACCCTGGGTGGCCACATACTCGGTCAGAAGCAGAAAGGGCACTGCCTGAGGCCGCAGCACTGTTCCGCCCACTGACTTCTATGCCCAGACAGGCGGCTTCCCTGGCCCTGGCCCAGTTTTTCCACCAGCACCTCCCCTTCGTCCTGTGCAGGGGCTGCCCTCCCACGGAAGCTGGCCTCTGTCCACGGAAGGGGTAGGGCAGGAAGCTGTTTTCAGGTCAGGGAGCTATAAGGGGGGCACCTCTTGGGCAGACCCTCCCCACATTACTGAGTCTTCGAGAGACAAAAACTGATTCCACGGTTTAGGGGCCGGATCCCAAGGGAGGATGGGCAGAGAAAGCCCTGAGGGGAGATTCTGGCTGCGTCTGGCACTGAGGGACAGATGAGGGGCCTGGCTGTGGGAGAGAGCCTTCCCCCAGCACCCCAGCCCCACCCTCCCTGGGCCTCTCAGAGGCTGTTGCTGGCGACAGGAGAGGCGCTTTCTAGTCGCAAACATCCCTCTGTCTTAAAAGGAAGGGAATTCTGACACATGCCACAACATGGATGAGCCCTGGGCACATCATGCCAGTGAAATAAGCCAGACACGACATGGCAAGTCCTGTGCGACTTCACCGACATGCGGAACCTAGAGAAGTCACATGCACAGAGAGGAAGGTAGAAATGTGGCTGCAGGGCCGGGGAGGGGGTGGGAGCTGCGGTTTAATAGGTCCAGGGTTTCAGTTTTGCAGGATGAGGAGAGGCCTGGAGGTTGGCTGCACAACAGCGCGAAGGAACTTGCCGTGACTGAACTTAAAATGGCTGAGGTGGTAAGCTTATGCTGTGTGCTTTACCACCACAATAATACATCCTCTTTGGGCAGGAGTGCCCCCACGTCCCTCCCTGTTGCATGTGGGTGTGCCTGGGGATGTGTGGTGGGTGCGTTTGACCCGGCCCTGCCCTCCAGGAGAGCACTGGGTACTGAGCGCTTCTGAGAGCTGGGACCGGTTAACTCGGAACTCATGGCCCCCACCCAGCGTAGGGACGATCAATCCTATTTTACAGATGAGCAGAGACTGACCCTTATGCGGAGAGCGGAGGGCCAAGCGGGGGTGCACCCTGGGTGTCTGGCCTCCCTCAGGCCCCCCGAGAGGCTCGTGTCAGCTCTGCTTCAGCCCCCCTGCCCTGGGCTCTTCTCCTGAGCCCAGCCCAGAGCCCCAGCTCTTTCTGGGCCTGCACTGCCCCCTTCCCTGCAGAAATGACTTTACACAGGGGAGAAACTGGAGAATGGAGAAGTTACCGTGTCTCGGGGCCTGCCATCTCTCACCTCCACTACTAAGGGAAACACCAAGTGGACACACACTAGTACCTGTGCACACAAGGGTACCCACACAGGCCCAGGCTGGCACACATGTAGAGACTCACGGGCATGTACACACACACACACACACACCTGGATCCAGGTGGGGCGGCTGGGCACACGCCACAGGGAGGGGCTCTGGTTGTCTGGGGTGGGGAAGGGAAGGGGTGACTCTGGCCAGTGTGGCCAGGCAACTAGTGCCCACTCCCAGTCCCCAAGCCCAAACAACCTCTATCAAGCTGGGACGAGGGAGAGGAGGAGGGGTCTACTCAGGCCTCGCAGGCTGGCCTCTACCTTAGCACAACTATGGGAGGGGCCAGATGCTCAGCTCTGCTCCAAGGGGCAGGTTGGAGCCCCTTCAAGGCAAGGCCGGGCACACTGAGTCACAGCCTGGGGGAGTTCCCAGAGGAGGGCAGGGTGGGATGGAGTGTGCACTTCTGCCCAACCAGGGCCCTGGGTCCAGCGTGGGTAGCACTCAGGCCTGTCCATGGTGGTCCACGTGTGGTAGCCCAGGCTGGGCTAGGGCACAGTCTGGAATGGCAGCTGGCATCCTATCCCCTGCGTGGACACAGCGCCAAGGGCAGTCCTCCGCTGACAGGGCAGGAGGAAAGGAAGAGGCAGTCTGCAGACTGGGAGGCTGGGTGGGGCCTGAGCCCAGGCAGCTCTGAGAGATGCCCCTCCATCTGAGCTAGGCTGGCTCAGGTCCTCCCACAGCCCTACGAGGGGGTGCGACTGGCCACATGGGCCCTTACCTTGCGAGAGAACATCAACTTGGGCACCTTTCTCCCACAGGGAGCGATGGGGAGGGGGGACAAGGGAACAGGACAGTTGAGAACACAGAGCTGACCCATGCTGGCTCGAGGCGCAGAGCCACAGGGGAGTGCGGGAGCCTGGGACGGCCACGGTGGGGTCCACAGACACCCAGGGCCCCAGCCTAGAGACACCAAGGCTCAAGCCCTGACACACCAGAAGAGGAATGCCCTCTATGGGGTAGCATCAGCCTCTTCCTGTGGCACGACACCCAGGGTGGGACAGTGGTAACCGCCCACTCCTCGGGGCATCTGGGAGGCCTGGAGGCACCAGCACCCAACCCTCCCTCAGTCTGGCCTGCAGGACAGTCACACCTCTTCACCACCTCCCTGTCTCGGCAGCCCCTCCCCCAGCTCCAGGGCCTCCGTCCAGGCCTTCATCCTCCCATTCTCCTCCGATTCTTTTCCTTGTTCTAGTCCTTCCCCTAAGTGCCGGTTGGAAGGGCTTTTGTGGGGGGCGGGCAGCTGAGACGGTGTGGGCAAGAATTCCCTCCAGCCCTGCACCCCACAGAGCACAGATAGCCTGAAGCCTGGACAGGAAACTGGGAAGGACTGGCCTCCCTGACCTCAGCCCTTCCTCAGGAACCTCAGAGCAGGGACTCTGGGACGCCTACCTTGGCCTTGCTGATGGTGCAGTGCAGGGCGTTGTTCTCCTGGTCATAGAGGAGGCTGAAGTCCAGTGTGCCCAGGGCAGCTGTGGACAGAGGGGGACACAGTCACATGTTGGCCGCATTGTGGAGAAGCCATACCCGCTCGGTGTGGCCAGGTGAGCCTGCCTGGGCAGGGGCCACAGTCCCCATAGCGACTGCCTCTAATTGAGCACCTACTGTAGGCCAGTTCCTCCCCCTCCTCTCAGTCTCACCCTGCCCTGGGAAGTGACAGTATCCCCCTCGCTTTCCAGAGAAATCAGACAGATCACAGTCCCCTGTGGCTGGCCCTGTGTACAGTCCACGTGAACTAGGCAGCCAGCTAAAGGTACCCTGCCCTCCTTGTGCAACCGCCAGTCTAGGCTCCGTGCCTCAGTCTCCCTCCTTGTGAAATGTCGTGGAAGGCAGAGAAGACAGGGCTTTGAGAGGCACAGGCCCTGGCCAGAAGACCAGCTGATCCACCACTCACCCCGCAGGCAACATGCAGCACTGTAGCTCCTTGGCCTCTCTGTCACCGTGGGGACCCCCGGCAGGCTGTGAGGAGCCAGCTGGGGCCTCATCCCTCTGCCCCCACGGCTCTCCACGGCAGTGGCAATTCCCAAGGGCCAGGCAGAGGGTGCAGCAATAATTGGGTGCAGCTGCCTCCCTCAGGACAACCACGCACAACAGCTGTGGCCTTCCATGCACAAGTGACTTCCAGCATGAAGGCTGAGGTGGAGGCCGGGACAGAGCTCAGGGCAGTCCCCAGAGAGCAAGACGCACATTCACAGATGTCTTCGGAAGCCCAGGGCCTGCTCCCAGGCTGCTGGTCAACTGGTGTCTCATCCATTCATCTTTTATTTACCAGGTGTTTACAAGAGGTCAGACCCATGAGCTGGAGATATCTATAAGGCGGGTTCCTGCTTAATGGCAGGAACATATGAAAAGAACTTGCAGCCAGGCTTGGTGGCTCAGCCTGTAATCCTGTGCCTTTGGGAGGCTGAGGTGAGAGGATTGCCTGAGTCCACGGGTTCGAGACCCGCCTGGGCAACTTGGCGAGACCTCATCTCTACAATAAATCCAAAAATTTGCCGGGTGTGGTAGTGCACGCCTGTAGTTCCAGCTACTTGGAAGGCTGAAGCGGAAGGATCGCTGGAGCCCAGCAGGTCGAGGCTGCGGTGGCCGGGAGCGGCCACTGCACTCCAGTCTGGGCGACAGAGTGAGACTCCAACTCAAAAAAAAAGAAAGAAAAGAACTTGCCACGACAGAGTCTGGGGAGCCAGAAGCCATGGGGAGCCCAAGGAGGGATGTCTGGCCTTCATGTGACCAGAGCCATCAGGGAAGGCTTCCTGGAGCAGGTGCTGCTTCACTTGAACCATAAGGAATGAGCAGGAGTTGGCCAGTGGCACAGTGGGCTGGGGCAGGGGACAGGTCAACTGGCAGTTAGGGGCCTAGTGGCTGGAGTGAGAGGCTGGATGCCTCAGACAGGGATTTGAGCTAGACCCCAGGCATGGGAGTCCAGCCACACCTATCCACTGACCTCACATCTGTGGCTGCTTCCCGCTTCAGAGGCGGAGCTGGCAGGCGTGTACACCAACCACTCAGCCTACAGAGCTGAAAATGTTTCCTACCCGGCCCTTTACAGAAAAAGTATGCTGTTCCCTGGGCTGGGGCCAGGCCAGGTCCACCCGAGTTTCTTGGGTCTGCAGGAAAGGGGCAAGTTAAGGGCCGTGCGCACGGGGCTGCCCTTTATTTTGAAGTGACAACGCTAGTGGCCTCATCTCACTCCCCACCTCCCAACACGGGGTAAGGCCCGTGGCTCGTGCCTGTCCTTGCCTGCAGCACGGTGTGGGGTGCACGACCCGCCCTCTGACTCCTGTCTCACAGGTTCAAGTGCCAGCTTAGCACTTCCCTGCTGGGTGACCTTAGACATTCACCTAACTGTTCTGTGCCTCAGTTTACTCATCTGCAAAATGGAAACAGTGTCCACCTGAGCACACGGCGCCTAGGGTATAACGAACGCTTGGTGGATAATTATAGAAGAGCAGATGCATTTAGGTGAGCTTCCAGCTAACTGTCCTCGCCCCTCTGAGACCGACGCTAGAAGGAAACCGCTCAAAACTGGATCAGTCCCCTCCTGCCTTTGGGAATGGAAGACATAAATGGTCACTTGCGCGTTTCTGAATAACCTGAGTCACTGCTGTGATCACAGTTACTCTTTCATATGTCACAGCCATAGCCCAGACATGGAGGGGGCGTGAGGTGAGTCCTCTACCAGGTGGGCCCAGCGGCCTTTCTTTTTGCTTTTCATTTTTCTGTCTCCTCCTTTGACGTCAGCCTGATACAGTTCTTAGTCTACTTACGTCTGGTAGCACAGACAGCTTCCTTCCCCTGTTCAGTAGTTGTTTCTATCATGAAAACAGACGACAATACTTGTTAGAACTGTTGCCAAACTAAGAGTCACTAGGTCTCGAGGGGCACCTTCGGCACTTTCTCCCGAGTGTAACTACGCCTGTGTCCCATACAGGCAGGTGAGGATGCTCTGAGTGAGGTATATGCTGTCATTCCCACAACAACACACACAGCCCAAGCCCCAGCTTCCCCAAGTTCGTGCTTTGTTTTTTGAGTTGAAGTCTCACTCTGATGCCCATGCTGGGCATCTCACTCTGATGCCCATGCTGGAGTGCAGTGGCATGCAGTGACCTGCTCAGGCAATCTTTCCACCTCAGCCTTCCAGGTAGCTGGAACTACAGGCATGTGCCATCACGCCCGGATAATTTTTTGATTTATTGTAGAGACGAGGTCTCGCCAAGTTGTCCAGGCTGGTCTCGAATCCCTGGGTTCAGGCACTCCTCTTGCCTCAGCTTCTCAAAGTGTGAGATTACAGGTGTGAGCCATCGTATTGTTGGTTTTACATGATGGTCACTAATGTGCTGTTCAGCTCACTCCCACCTGGGGTTTGTTCCCCCAACATATTAGCCTCCCGAGGGTAGGGGCTATGCCTTGGCCACACCAGTGAGACGAGCAAGGGCAGATGCATGGTCCACTGGGCAGGCCACAGCAGGACCCAGAGGGTGAGCCACTGAAACTCTCCACTGCCCCCAGGAGCAGGGATTGGTGACACTCACATGTAAAAAAGCACACCTCAGGGTTTGTGCCCGCTTCCCTGACCCAGAGGAAGGCCAGCGAGCACCCAGAGGAAGGCTGCCTGCCCCTACTGGGAAACAGCTCCAGGAAGGTGCTTCTCTGCCACTGGCTCTACAGAAGCCCCTGTGGAAGACTGACACCCGTTACTACTTCCTGGGAAGGGATAGTGTGCCCACTGTGTCCCTGGGAAGGAACGATGAGTATCTCTGAACTCCAGTGAAGTTCTGTAAGAAATAATAGTTTATAAATAGAAGCTTGGTCACAATGTTGAGAGACTTGCTGGTAGTGAAGCTCTCCTAAGGAGCATATGGCTCAGTCTTCATTTCCCTTTTGGAGAAATGAGGCTCAGAGAGGGGTGGTGAGCTGATCAGGGCAGCCCAGCAGAGCTGCATATGGAATCAAGGTCTCTTCACTTCCATCCCGAACGTTCCTGCCTTAAAGCCTAATAGCTTCCCAAAAGTTTATTGTTTCATTTTTCTGAAGAGACAGGGTCTTGCTACATTGCCCAATTTGGTCTTGAACTCCTGGCCTGAAGCAATCCTCCTGCCTCAGCCTCCCGAAGTACTGGGCTTATAGGTGTGCGCCATCGTGCCCAACCCCCCAAAAGTTTTTGTTTGCCATGTTGTTTGGTTGAACTCTTAGGAAATTGCAACTGAGAAGCACAAGAGGGAAAAGTTGCTCTTGGTGAAGGAGAGTGGGGGCTGGGCCACTGCCCGGGAGAGGCCTCTGAGTTGGAAAAGCACGTGGGCTT